ACATAATTTGTATAAAAAATTATGTTATTACTATCCTAATCTTACACCGCAAGAATCAGTATCTGCATTACTAGACCTACATCTTAAATCACTTGATTATATGGACAATATGGATAGAATTGCTGTTAAAAATTTTCTTAGACAATTATATGATAACGAAAAATCTGTGGAGATAGATCAAAATAAAAAAGAGCTTGATAATAACAATCAAAACTTAGAAAAACAAGTATCCGATGAATTTATGGTTACTGCAAATCCACTATATATACCATACTTGTTAAAATCATTGGAAAAAGAGAATTGCCCGATAGATGATGAAATTAATGAATACATAAGACAACCTGAAATAAGTCTCAAAAAAGATCCCTTAGCATGGTGGGACTTACATTCGAAGAAATTTCCAATACTATCTAAACTTGCAAGAATTCATCTAGCCATTCCAGCAACGTCTACCTCAAGTGAATGTTTATTCAGCGATGCTGGAAACTTAATAACATCAAAGAGAACAAGAATTTCTCTAGAACTTTTTGAAATGATGATGTTTTTAAAAAGGAATATCGATCAATATAAAAATATTCATCCTGAATAATATGTTATTTAGCATTAGCTTTTAAACTTATATGCAATTGTTTATTATAGCGATAAAATTGTCATTGAGTATTGCAAAAAAAAAAAATATCATTGTTATTATTAAAATTTTAAATATTATTACCATTATTAAAATTATAGCGCTAAAATTGCTATTGAGCATTGCAAAAAAAAAAAAAAAATCATTGTTATTATTAAAATTTTAAATATTATTACTGTTATTAAAATTATAGCGCTAAAATTGTCATTGTTATTATTAAATTTTAAATATTATTGTTGTTATTAAAATTTTTAAATATTAAAATTATTGTTATGATCAGATATAAGGATATCTGTAAAACGGATAACGGATAATCCGAATCTGACATTATCGGATTCGGATATATCCGTTTAAGGGTAGAGTATATGTAGATCATTTTCATATGATATGTATAGCAGATCAAGACCTTATATATACAATAAAAATTAGCCACTGATAAAATTT